GCCTAAAATAGTGGTATGCTCTATTCTCTTCTAAATTCATAATTTGGAGGTCCATATTTGTTTGACTAATCAATTATGTCTATTTGTGTAGATTGCTTCTCCAGATAAATAATGAGTGTCACCATCATGCATTATCTATTAGTTTCGTAATTTTGGCCTTTCGCTATGGATAAACTGCATCCTTTATTTTTCATGATGTATTTTGTGTTTTTCATCATTCATCGATGTTTTGATATAAGACTACTTCAAACTATTATATTTGTCTTTTGGTGGGGATCATAGTGGAGTTATGTCGCTGTAGCGCTTTTGTTCAGCCCCTCCTAAATTTTTTCCAGGATTTGCCACTTCCCGCCGGTCGCGCCCCTCACTAGCTCACCCCGTCCTCGCGAAGTCGTGCGTAGCCGCGTAGGAGCCGTGCTTGGGTATCTAGCCGTCTCGCGATGGGGATTGGGGAATATAGGGGATTGGGATAGGGTTTCTTCTCTCATTGTCTAGTTGGCCGGTTGGGCCTTGGCCTTGGCTGGAAACTCCCCTGTCTCTATGGGTCGTCGTCTACCTCTAGTTGGACCTCAGCCCCCTACCTCATACATCTATGCCTAAAATTTCATGGGGGGCTCCCCCCCCTCCCCACTCCTAGATCCACCCTGGCCTATGAACCCGGCCCTTTGCATCTGCCTATCCATTGAAAACCAAAAAAAGAGCAAGAAGTTTGTAAGATAAACTCTTCAGTATGTAGCTAACTACAAAATCTACCATCTAATGGGATTTACGGAAACTAGTTCAAAATTTAACCTTCAATATCTTCACTTGGCAATCATTCTGCTATAAGGTTTTCCAAATAAATCTCTTACAATAAATATAGGAATTAATCAAATTTCAAAGGGGGAACAACATTACATTTATTGCAGGAGCAATTAAAATTTGAGGAAAGCAACCAAATTACAAGGACGACAAGAAAATGCAACCAAGGTGAAATAGCACCAAACATTTTAGTCATTTTTTTGTTTTAAATACTGATATCCATTACTTAGCTAATGCTTGGTGCCAAAGTTAGGACGGTGCATGGCACTAGTTCTCCATGGGCCGGTTACATTTTGTATTATGTAGTCTGACTGAAAATAGAACTGACAAGAAGGTAGATGAGATGGGACCAAACTAACAGCAAGTGACATCAAATAAGATAAAACTAAAATAGACAATTTTGCATAGGTCAGCCACTTTTACCAATGTCCTCTCTGCTCCATGTTCCAATGAGTGTTAACAAAATAAAAAAGTTATTTTGGGATGATGCTTCAAAGTGTGTCTAAGAGAGATTTTTCTTGTTCACACTTTCGAAAAAACATCTTTAAGCACCGGAATATCATGCACTTTTTTCCTCTAGTCGTTACTAAGACCAAGAGAATTCGACACTCTAGACATACATGCCACTATATCAGTGATATCATCCGTTGAAGAGCATTTGAGTGTCATGGCCAATTCCTTTGATAAGATCACTGCGTTCAGTAGAGAATACAAAAAAGGGATGATTATAAATGAATATCAAATACCTATCTAGCATTCATCCATAGCCCTTGCACCTCTTTTGTAAATCTTGCTGCACAAGTTAAGGAGATGTCCAATATAGACAAAAGTTTTTTTGATCCTGTCTTTCACCTTGTGAATACTACACTAATGTGTCGTTAGATGTCATTTTTATCTCTTTGAGACAAATTGTTGGAGGATGGTTTTGGTCATGTGTTGACAGAAACAATGACGTATAAGACTAGAGGAAATGTAGTAATTACTAATTAATGTATAAGAATAGAGGAAATGTAGTAATTACTAATCAGTAATCACGCAGCTATGCTACTGCAATCCTTTGTTTAGCTCTGCAAATATGTCATGCCATAGGATTCTAGGACAACATCCTTTGTTTAGGCCATAACCGCATCTTTACACAGTAGGTGAGGTTCTAGGGCAGCTTATGTTAGCTTTGATATGTGACTATGCCAAGTAGTATCATATTTGTTTTGGTGTCTTTGCAATGACCTTGTGCTTTTATTTGTGAGTACTTAAAAAATGTAATGAAAGCAACAAATTCGAATGGATATGAATGTGAAGTCACAGATATGCTAAATACAGTGTTACACAACCGTTGGATCGGTGCAAAGTGGCAACTATCCAAATCTCCGCACACAAAATATTCTATCTCTAGAATTCCCATTGTGTTCAAAACCTAGATATTTTTCTACCATGCAAAAATATATACCTTTAGAAGCTTCTCCACATCACCATGAAGCATGGTTACTATATTTGTACTTTTCCATGAAGACAATTCTACAATCTTCCATGGAAAATATCTCCTCTCTTGCATTCTTTCAAATAATTAACACATCATATTACATGAACACAAGGACGGACATGGCTGTCACGACCTGTCGCCTACCGCTAAAATCCGTGGATTATGCATGTCTTTGATGGTGCACACTAGTCTAAGTACTACTCTCATCCTCCCGGAAAGACAAGTGCTAAAGTTGTGAGAGAAAGTGCACGCTAAAGCTGTGAGAGAAAGTAAATGTTGTAGGTGAAGCTTTTTATTAGACGAGTATGTGAACTAACGATTTCTCAATTTGCTTATTAATTATTATTGAAAAGATTAGCAGTTGATTATCTTTGTACCTGTTTTTTTTTTATTTCAGGCTCCTGAAGATGCTACCAACGAGTTTGCTGGAAAGAGGAAGAAGCATGGTTTCAGATTGGTGCATGGATAAAGGATAATGAATCTGTTATTGAAGGGAGCATTTCTCTAACATATGCATCGAACACTTTAGCTATGAATAGTATGTGGTTTGGGAGTATTTCACTACTATAGAAATGATTTGTAGCAACGCCTTATTTTTTCAGTAGGAGTGGCTCACTCATCAGCCGCCCGCCCACCCCTACAGTGCCACCGGTAGGGTCCCACTAGACCAGTCGCCCCTACTAGTGCTCCAGGTATAAGTAGCCCAACCTCCCTTCTTCCTCCACAGGTAACTTACTGTCACCCAAGAAGGGGGTCTTTGGGCTACCTCCCAAAAATTACTCTTTTAAGGGGGAAGGTTTTGATTTCAATTCCTTTGGTGAAGGAGGTCGTAGAAGGAAAGAAAATGCTATTCCAAACTTAACAGTTGAAATAGGTTATACCTTCTTCTTGCATTTGGCTTTTGTCGCCCTCGTCGGCCTTTTGACTCTGGCGGTCAAAGGAGTCGTCTTCTTGAGCGATGGCAGTAGCTGCTTCGTCGCCGGGCCTTTGCCCTATCCGGTGGGGGTCCATGACACCGCTCCTCTACCCACGTGGCAGAAGGGGTCATTGTCGCTGTTCCTTTGCTCCACCCAGCGGCTTGGGTCTAGGGCTAGACAAAATACTCGTGGCTCGCCAACTCACTCGGCTTATGGCCGGCTCAGCTCGGCTCGTTTTAACTTTTTCACGAGTTGAGCTGAAAGTCTAGCTCGCTATTTTAACGAGCCAGCTCGCGAGCTGCTCACGAGCTGAGACCTATTAGCCAACGACCATGAATCCAGAAGATGATGATGCTGAAATAGAAGTATACACCTATTCTATTGGTATGTAATCCTTATTTTCAGCTGTTTCATATGAATTTTAATTTTATAATTGTTGTGGTATTTAAATATTGATTTTATGGATTATTTTCTAGGGAGAAGATGAGGATGCTGACATTGAATCCGTGGACTTTTCTAAGTTTGTGGTGGAAAGCAACTAGTTAGTATACTGGAACTGTACGATCATGGATGGACCAGCTATGTTGCATGGTTGATACTTTTGATAAACCTGATATGTATTAATCATGTATGGTTGCATAATAGTGGACGTCACCTTATGAAATTAATGTAGCATAAACATTATGACATGTGTGTCCTATTTTTTAAGTAGCTCGCGAGCTAAACGGGCCAACTCGAGCTCGGTAACGAGCCGATCCGAGCTGCCCCTCTAGCTCGTAATATTAACAAGCCGAGCCCAATTGGCTTGTTAGCCTAACAAGCCAGTTCAAGCTGGCTCGATATCCAGCCCTACTTGGTCGCTGACGCCGCTCCTTTGCCCCGCCCGATGGCAGGGGTCACCGGCACCACAGATCCGTTGCCCCGTCTAGCGGTACGAGTCCTTGACGCTACGCCCTTTAGGGCGAGGCGCATCATAGAAGGCTTGACCTCCTCGTTGGAGTCGAGGAGGTACATGACCTTCCCTTCTATCGGGATCCAGTCTAGACTACCGCTGCCGCTCGATGGGGAGAACTGCCCTTGAGCGTTGCGCATCTGGATCTTCGTGTTCCACTCGTAGCGGCCGGTCATGGCCGCACACCCGAGGGGAGAGGAGGATGCGAGGGTTTGGAGGAGGAGGTGGAGTGGAGGAGATGAAGTGAGCGAGGCCAGACGATATTAATTATAGAAAAACTAGAGATGGCTCGCTATTCTGCCGCCTCTAAAGATCCATCTGTACATAAGACGGTGTTACGAGCCGCCTCTGAACCAGTCCATCTGATCCCTTCTTCCGCTTCCAAAGCCCAAGCCAAAAGCCCAACCAATGCCCAATCTTCCACAGCCCCTTGAACCTCCTTGCGTTGTGTCCGACGCCACCGTCGCGATGGCCTCAACCTCCGACATCGCGCTCTAGCCAGCCATGGACGGCAACCTCGGCCTCCTCAAGAGTAACACCCCCTCTCTCGCTCTCGTTTTAAATGATCCACCGCCGCGTCTCCAATTAGCATTGTTTAGCGGGCGCCAACCGCCAAGTTTTCACACGAAAATCCGTTGCCATTCTCCTTCGATTTTTCTCTCGCGACCATGCTCTTGCACGTATTTTGTTTTCCTTCGATTTGTTCATTTCGAGACCAATCGGCCTGCTGCGGTTTGTCATGGTTTTAATTGCACGATTATCGATAGTGCTTTTTGATTCCGATTGTTGTTTTCCGGTTGCAAACAAAGGGGTTTTGATTGTTGTTTTCTGCAATTTCTCCTAGCTAGCGATGGCGAGCAAGGTGAACCTGCGGGAAGCCAAGGACGACATGGGGAGGAACACGCTTCACTTGGCCGCAGAGAAGGGTCACCTAGAGGTCTGCAGGTTCCTGGTGGAGGAATCTGGGTTCGATGTTGACTCCGTCTCTGCGGAAGGTGCGTGCGACTACAGAGTGCTAGCACCTAGCAGTGAGATTTAATCCTTGTAGGCCGGCGGCCGGTCCATGGGGCTGCTGCCGGGGGAAGCGAGAGCGTCCTGAGGTACCTTCTCGACCGTGGTGGTGACCAAGTGATGCCCGACTCCAAGGGCTCAACGCCTCTGCATGATCCAGCAGAGGAAGGTGCTGTTCCTCAACTTTATGGAAGAGGAGATCATCTGTGTGTCCCGAGGTTCAGAGGTTGTGTTTGATTTGGAGTGTTCGGTCATTTGGTTGTGCCTCCAGGGCATTGAGAGGCTGTAAGATTTCTGCTGTCCAAGGGTGTTAATGTGGATGCAATCAGTTCTCTTGGGACACCACTGCACTTGGCTGCCTCCAAGAACAAGGATCGGGCTCTGAAGATCCTGCTGGACCATGGCGCTGATATAGGTTGTTGCTTTCATCAGTTCCTTGTTACACCGGTGCTTATGGACTAGAATTGCATCTGTGGCAAATTTTGTTTCACTTGGATGTGAAATTGCTTGTGTATAGGAGGTGCAGCAGAATACTTAATGGTACCACTTTCCTAAATTATTTCCCATGATCTGATCAGCTCTCATAATTGTTCACCTGCATTTGCAGCCCAACAAAATTTATAATCAGTTCTTTACACCACTGCTCGTGGCATCCTGTGGTGCGCATTCCTTAAAATGCACGAAGCTATTGGTTGAGGTAAGGTCCAGTTATTTCTTTACTTACTCGATTTCTCCTTATTATTTGAAGAAATCTGTATAGAGTAGAATCTGGCTAACTAAATAGCCTTGCTATTTCCATTGAATTTGTCATCATGATTTCACTTGACTGTTCTCTCTAGAGCTACCTAAGCTTTGTATTGCCAATTCTATAGGTTAGTGCTGATGTGAACTTTATAAGTCCCGGTGGTCCAATCATTTTAATGGAGGCTGTTAATTATGGCTTAATTGACATTGTCAAATTCTTGTTAGAAGCTGGAGCTGACCCTAACATTCCTGACGAGGTGATTATTACTATCTCTTTGCTCCCACTGTCTATTTAGTTCATACTTTGAGGGTTAGAATCTCATGGCCTCTTGCATATCAGATGACTAGGTGTTAATACAAATTCTGAGCCTATTTTATGGATTTAGATTCGCCGTGTTCGGCTGGGGCTGGCTGGCTGGCCAGCCCCCTCACATGGACACTATTCACATGAACCAGCCAGCAGTACTTCTCTCTCACATAAACGAACCAGCAACGATACGAACCAGCCAACCGAACAGGCTGATTGTTCGTATGTCAAACAAGTTTGGTACTGTAGGTCTGTATTTGCTTCACAGTGCAGTGATTTGGTCAACTATCCCATGATTTGTTGCTCTAGTGATAAGTTGTATGCATCTGCAATAATGAATATTTCCGTAATTCATTTAGATCAGGTTCTGCATCCCACAGTACCAGATTGTCTTGGGCAGACCGTTGAAATTCCACTGGTGACATATTAGTCTAGAGACACCTATGATTTCTCGCGATTGATCACTAACCAGGAGTAGTTTTCCTTCAAAATCTGCTTTACCGATCTATTAATATTTAAACCTATTACTACCAATGGGATGGATTAAGTGAAGGTCTAGTATTTGCTCTCTATTATCATGGAGAACAACATAAGTTAACTTTCCTGGCACCCCTAATCTATTAATTCTAGTGCTGTCCCTGCATAATTTCACAAAAGAATAGTGTCATGTGCCCTATTTATTTTATTCCTGCTGTGTTTTTCTATACAATACAGGATGGGAGAATCCCAATCATATGGGCAGCAGTTCATGGCCTTCTCGATCATGGTGGCGACCCAGTGATGCCCGACTCCATGGACTCAACGCCTCTGCATGATACACCAGACGAAGGTGCTGTTCCTCAACCCTCGAGGGCTTAGAGGAGATCACTTGTTCGTCCTGATATTGTGTTTAATTTGGAGTGTTTGGTTATTTCGTTGTGCCTCCAGGGCATTGTGAGGCTGTAAGACTTCTGCTGTCCAAGGGTGTTGATGTGGATGCAATCAGTTCTTGTGGGACACCTCTGCACATGGCTGCCTCCAGGGACCAGGATCAGACTCTGAAGATCCTGCTGGAGCATTGTGCTGATGTAAGTTGTTAGTTTCATCAGTTTCTCATTACACCTGTGCTTATGAATTAGAATTGCATCCGTGCCAAATTCTGTTTCGCTTGGATGTGAAATTGCTTGTGTTTATGAGGTGCAGCACAGTACTTGATGGTATCACTTTTCTAGATCATTTCCCATGATCTGACTAGCTATCAAAACTCTTTATCTACCTTGTAGCCCAACAAAGTTGTCCTTCAGTACTTTCCACCACTCCTCATGGCATGCCGTGGGCGTTCCTTAATATGCATGAAGCTACTGGTTGAGGTCTAGTTATTTCTTGACTTAACTCAATTTGTCCTTACTGTTCAAAGAAATCTGTATAGAGAAGAATCTGGGCTAACTAAATAGCCTTGCTATTTCCATTGAATTTTTCATCATGAAAGGTTCTGGGATTCTTTTTTGAAAAAAAAATCGGAACCCAACGAACTTGACGAAATTCAGAAAATTCAGAAAATTCGGACTGGTTCCCACTCAAAATTTGAATGAAATTTGATCAAATTTGAACAAAATTTCCCCAAACGGTCAGAAGTGGCAGTGGGCATGGAGAGGATGCATGCAGGGCCAGCGTGGAACTCGTAGGTGGCGGGAAAGACGGCGACGGTGCGGTGGTGGCAGCAAGAGGTGCAGATGGTGTCGATGACCTGTCAGGGGCGGTGACGGTGCGACGGTGGGTGTCGAGGAGCAGCCATGGCACGGGGGCGGCGTTGAGGAGCATCCATGGGTGAGCTCGGATGTTGGGGGAAGCAACCATAGCTCTCTCGGTGGCTGCAGGAGTGTTGGCGCAGGCTGCAGGGAGCGAAGACGGTGCCGCTGGCGGTGGCTCGCAAGCACGCGGCGTTGGCTAGGGACCGTGAGTAAGGTTTTCAGGGTCATATTGGTTAAGGAATGTCTATGGGCTCTTTGTTGGTCCATAGAACGTGTTGAAAATTTGAATCGGGCCAAAATATTTTGGGCAGTATAGTTTTATCTCGGACCGGACCGAAATTGGCGAAATTCGGTGAAATTCGGGCCTCTCGGGCCGAATCCCAGAACTGTCATGATTTCATTTGACTATTCTCTCTAGAGCTACCTAAGCTTTGTATAGACAATTCTATAGGCGGGTGCTGATGTGAACTTTGGTGGTCCAATCATTTTAATGTGCGTTGTTAATCATGGCGTAACTAACATTGTCAAGTTCTTATTAGAGGCTGGAGTTGACCCTAACATTCCTGACGAGGTAATTATTGCTATCACTTTGCTCCTGCTGCCTATTTAGTTCATACTTTGAGGGTTAGAATGTCATGGTCTCTTGCATATCAGATGACTAGGTGTTAATACAAATCCTGAGCCTATTTTATGGATTTAGATTGTTCGTATGTCAAACAAGTTTGGTACTGTAGGTCTATATTCAAGTTTATTGTTTTGTATTTGTTTCACAGTGCAGTGATTTGGTCAACTATCCCAAGGATAACTTTTTATTGAGTTTTATCTTTTCATGTAATATTGTTGTACATCCTTGGTGTCACTTACTATTAGTTCAGTCCCATCTCTGTACTTATTAAGTTGTACGGCAGGATTGGAAATAACTGGTAAAAGCGGCCTAGGAACAATAATTCCTTGACTGGTTCCTTTTGTGATAAAGACTGGCAGAGAAAAATATCAAATGCTCTGTCCAATGTGTAAACAACCTCTCAAATCCAAATATTAGCAAGACCAAGTCTTTTATGCAGTATCTGCTTCTGGGACTAAATGTAAATGGGTTTCGACAAATCGCAAAACTAAAACAAATGGTGCCATAAGTATCCTCCAGACTCAGCCACTGCCATGCCCTGAGGAACTTGATTTATTGGTTGGAGAAGTGTTTGATGAATTTATTGTTGATTCTATTTGTGAGATCCTGCTGGAGCCCAAGTTGGACAACAATCCATTGTAATACTTTCTTTCATTTATATGATATCTATATAATACTTTCTTTCATTTATATGATATCTAATAACTAATTGTGTAACCATACTTAAACTTTCAGAGAAAAGTTTGTCACCAGTCTTTCCTAATTACTTGTGTTTCTATTGTCAGCATCCAGGCTCGATTGAAAGTCTTCGCCAGGTCAATTTGTGAAGAATTGAACGGTGAAGGGGAAGAGAAGGATGAAGATGAAGGTGCAGCACAAAAAACCGGTACTCAATTGGCATAAGTGTCAACTCAAGAGTTCTTGCCTCACCATCTCGATATGAATTTTACTACTGTTGCTAAATGAAGGATGACGAATTCTAAAACCCGGTCTTTGCCGGCACCCGAATCCACACACTAGAAGGATGGTTGTTACTAAACAGTTAATAGGCAGGCATGCCCCAAGAAACCAAATCAAACTAAACAAGGTGTGGCTATGTGCTAACTAAATAGCCTTGCTATTTCCACTGAATTTGTCATCATGATTTCATTTGACTATTCTCTCTAGAGCTATTGTGGGGTTGTAGCCCTTCGGTTGTACCCTCACCAACCAAAACGAAGGTTCCTTCATCGGGGTGAGGGGGAAGCTCGGGGAAGCTCAGGAACTAGGCACGCACAGGAAAGGGAGTAAGTGCCAAAAGATTAGGGTTAGGGAAAAATCAGGAGAGAGCCCCTTTGCCCTTGCCCCTTGGGTTCTATTTATAAGGGAGGTGGGAGGGGGCAATCTTCCTATCTACCCCTTTGGTTCATAAATTTACATACATGTCCTCAGATCTATTAGGCAATAGGCACTGGGTCATTTTACATGGAGGGGGTAGACACAGCTGCCCCTACCCCCAACGACTACCTAAGCTTTGTATTGCCAATTCTATAGGCTGGTGCTAATGTGAACTTTATAAGTCCCGGTGGTCCAATCATTTTAATGGAGGCTATTAATTATGGCTTAATTGAGATTGTCAATTTCTTGTTAGAGACTGGAGCTGACCCTAACATTCCTGATGAGGTGATTATTACTATCTCTTTGCTCCTACTGTCTATTTAGTTCATACTTTGAGAGTTAGAATCCAATGGCCTCTTGCATATACTACTAGGAATATCCACTTCTACGACGATCAGCTTTCGTCACAGAATGAGTCCAATTTGTCATAATTTTAGTTTGATGACGAATCTATGACGAAAAACAGTTCGTCATAGAAGTCGCGTCATACTTGAACTTCTATGACGAATCTAGAAAATCGTCATAGAAGTGGATAGATCTATGACGAAAACAGATCGTCATAGAACTGCTTTGGCATGCGTGGCAAGGGGCAGCCACGCTAGCGGGTGCTTTCGTTGGAGATGCTTTTCCATGTGTACATGCTATAGCCGGTTGCATTGAAGATGGTTCGGGTACGTGTCACCTTCTTATTGCACAACGTGGCCATCTCTGGATCTTGCACGTTTCAGTTTCTTACTGGACCACGTGTCGGGCCCCTGTTGTTCCACATGTCTATTTTCTAATGGCATACGTGTCGTGTTACGGTTGGGTCATGTGTCACTTCTTCATTAGACCATATGTCGTATTTTTATTGATCCACGTGGCGTGACCACAATATCCCGCGTGTCTTTCTTTTACTTGGCCACATGTCTCGATGCTGTACGTTCGCATGTCAATATTTTATTGGGCCACGTGTCGCGCCTTGAGCTACCCACGTGTCTTTTTTGATTCGACCATATGGCAGGATGAATTTGTACCACGTATTTGGTTTGTATTGGCCCACGTGTCCTGTCCTGGCTCTTACATGTGTCATTCACTGGTTCGTCCACGTTTCAGATTCTTATTTAATAACATGCCTATGCCGGATCTACCACGTGCACACCAATCATTACATCAGAAAAAATGATTTCAGATCTACACTGCTGCACAAAATGACTACATGCATAATTATATTGAACCTGAATCAAATAACAGTAGTTCAACTTAGCAACAAACCACTGACATAGTTCACATATCAAGCCACCAAAAGTTCACATCAAAACAACAAACAAACCACATATTCACTGCATCAACAAGACTGAGAGTTACTAGCGCTTAAGAGCACGATATGCTCACAGAGCTTATTGTACTGCTGTTGCTGTTTCTTGAACTCCTCAAACTCTCTATCAGTGTTTTCTGCCTTCCTGTTTAGTTGATCCACTTGTTCGGTGAGGACAGCTGAATTTTCCTGTTGAGCAGCAAGCCGTTCCCAAAGTCTAGAGCAGCTTGTCCTGATACCAGCATTCTTCAAATAAAAGGTGTTGCAGCTGGCCTAGGAGAGGACCTTGGAAACAACATTAGCAACAGGTTCTGTCCGTATAGTTTCCATACCTTTCTGCGAAAACCAAGAAGTAAACATTAGGAAGAGGACTTAAATTACAGAACCAAGAGATTATTTCATTACAAGTAATGCATATGTCTTCCTCAGCCTACTGCCGACAGAGATTCATAAGCACAATGCATAGGTAACATATTAACTGTTGTAATATTACAACTTCAAAATGATGGTGCTACTTCATGTTCCTTCTACTTTTCCTTCTTTTATGCCAATGGATTCAGCAGATTTCAAGAAAAACAAATGAAGGTACTTACCACTGCTTCTCTTGCAACATCTCTCAGTCCTGTGTTGCTACTGGTATGAAAGTTGTTGAAGATTCCCACTACATCAACATCTTCATGAGGTCGATCATGTTCTTCAACGAGCACTTCTTGATCGTGTCCTGCGTCCTTCCTATTTTTGTCCTTCTGTTAAAATTGCACATGTCTTTCTATTGATACAAAAGGCATTGCATATTTGATATAAAAGAGTAACACAACCATCATTTACATATGCTTGCAGGTGGGCAACATGGGAGTGAGATCCAGTAACCTAGTGGTACTTGACTTCTGTACGGTTTAGCTTGTTCTGCTCCGAGACTGCCTATAACCACAATTGTGTTAGACTACAGCACAAGTAGACCACATAACGACTAGACAAGAAATAAATGAGTTCACACACACCTTGTTCTTGGAGTTAACCACTTGTGGACAAGTGCACACCACTGTGCATCATTCATGCAAGACACAGGAAAGGTCTTTCTGATTTGATCAGCGGGGACACCATTGAAGTAGGATCGCTTGAACCTATACCGTGTCTGCCGTATAACAGACTGGAATACACTCGGGCATGCTTCTTTTGTTGCTTCATCATTGTCATCAATGGCCAGCCTCAACTACAGAAGTGTGAATGCAAATTAAATCCATTACTAAGTTGCTCAATGCAGAGTTGAATGTCAACAGAGGATATACATACTTACAGATAGCTTTGCCACAAATTCATTGAGATGTTCGATCCGTCGCTTGTAATGTTTCTAGTGTGGGAAAATTGATACTTGAGACCTGACTACTACACCTGCCTCTAAGGCAAACTTGATAGCTTGCAATGGATCATGTGGCCTTCTGTTCCCCTTGACAACCGAGATGGGCATCCTTGTTCCCATTGATTGAGTGGTTTTGTGAAGCCCAACCCCCTTAGTTGTTTGCCTCAACTTCCTCGCTCTTTTTTGCAATTGTACTACACACTTTTCATACATTCAGATTGTTAGAAAAGTAACCGCATTCCACTAGATCCTAAATGCATATGCAATGAGTTAGAGCATCTAGTGGCAATTTGATAACCGCATTTCGATACGAGTTTCACCCCTCTTAATAGTATGGCTATCGATCCTAAATGTGATTACACTCGCTAAGTGTCTTGATTACCAAAACAAAATGGCTCCTACAATTTATACCTTTGTCTTGAGCCTTTTGTTTTTCTCTTTCTTCTTTCCAAGTCCGAGCACTTGATCATCACCATGGCATCACCATCATCATGTTATGATCTTCATTTGCTTCACCACTTGGAGTGTGCTATCTATATCATGATCTCTTGATAAACTTGGTTAGCACTTAGGGTTTCATCAATTCATCAAAACCAAATTAGACCTTTCAATCTTCCCTTTTTTGGTAATTAATGACAACCCTTATACAAAGATATGAATTAAAATTCAATTGAATCCATGTTGCTTGTCCAAGAATATTTACCATGTGTTAAAGGATATGGACAAGTTTCATGAATTCCATATGGTAGCAATTGCTCCCCCTACATATGTGCTAAGAATTTGGATTGTAGCTTGCACATATGATTAGATAGGAAGTATAGGAGACAATGTCTACCAAATGATGTTAAGGTATAAAAGATGGACCTTTAAAGCGTGATATCAATCGGAGTGCACCAATATACCATCCTTAGCACCGTGATTAGCTCGATACCACTTGGAAAACAACTTGGAAATGAAATCATTAGATATCCTATGCATGCTAGTTTTTCATTTCATCATTCAAACCCACAACTAGCATACACCACACAAACATGAATATGAAATTTAAAACTTGTGCTATGCAAGCAAACATATGAAATGCACATTCAAATGCACCATACAAGTTCATGAGCTTGCTCCCTCTACTTGTGTGCTCAAAAGTTTAATTGATCCCTTTCCTTTGTCATATCTCTCCCCCTATGTCAAATTCTCCTTTTTGTTGTCTTTTCATCATCTTAGTACACTAATATATCTTTGTTATTTCTCTCCCTATCACTTATATATTTGTTTCTCTCCCCCTTTGTCATCAATGACCACAAAGACTTAAAATATAGATATGTTAGGATTATCAATGTCAATCAATGGGGTGAGGATCATATTCCCAAACTTGGTTTAAACTAGAATATTTGCCAAAGATATTTAACTCGGTTTGATCCAAGGACAAGCTTCTTCACACCTTCAAATAAGGGTTATCTTGTACCATGTTGAGTTAAACACTTAGAGCTCATTTTCTAGATTAAACACTAGGTTTACAAGCCCACAAATATGTCATATGCTATCACTAGATCAAGTCAAGCATAGAAGCAATAGTGATACCATATAAACATCAAATTCTTTTGCTTTTCCTGAATAAGCTTAATAAAATGGAGAGATGACTAGATGCACTAAACATGTCCTTAGCAAGGATGTATGCCATGCCAATCAACTTTTACCTTGGATTGCTCGAAGGAGAGGCATGTCATATAAGTGGGGGTACATCAACACATATTTGAGAAATCCAATATGTTCAACTCATTCCTTAGCTTGCAAAACATTTTCTCATCCAATGGCTTGGTGAATATATCGGCAAGTTGATCTTCGGTGCCTACACTCTCAATGCAAATGTCTCCTTTTTGTTGGTGATCTCTTATGAAATGGCGGCGGACATCAATGTGCTTTGTTCTTGCATGTTGAACCGGATTGTTGGTCAACTTGATTGCACTCTTATTGTCACATAGCAATGGCACTTTCTTGAACTTGATTTCAAAGTCATTCAAGGTAGCCTTCATCCAAAGTATTTGTGCACAACAACTATCAGTGGATATGTATTCGGCTTCGGTGGTTGATAATGCAACATTATTTTGCTTCTTTGATGACCATGAAATAAGTGATCTTCTCAATAATTGACATGTGCCCGAGGTGCTCTTCCTTTCAACCTTGCATCCCGCATAATCCGAGTCGGAGTAACCAACTAACTCAAACTTTGCTCCTTTGGGATACCACAAACCCACATTTGGTGTATGCTTTAAGTACCTCAATATCCTCTTTGTAGCCTTCAAATGACTTTCTCTTGGTGAGGCTTGAAATCTTGCACACATGCATACACTAAACATGACATCCGGTCTTGATGCGGTCACATAGAGTAGACTTCCAATCATGGACCGATATAATTTTTGATCCACCATATTTCCACTTGCATCACTATCCAAGTTGCCATTGGTGTGCTAATGACTTTGCTATCACTCATGCCAAACTTCTTGATCATGTCCTTGATATACTTGCCTTGACTCACAAATATACCATTCTTCAATTGCTTGATTTGAAGACTAAGGAAGTAACTCAATTTTCCAATCATGGACATCTCAAACTCATTAGCCATCATCTTTCCAA